ATGCCTTGTTTTGAGTTTGGATATCCGTTTGTACAGTCTCCAGCTGCTGGTTCTTGTCCTACCCTTGGGGGCTTTGAAGAATAAATCCAGAGTTTGCCCTGTGACATCCCTTTGTCTATTGGAGGACTGCAGTCCTGTCTCTCCACAACCTTCTCTTCGTTAGGCTAAACAGACCCAATTCTTTTCATAGGATTTAGTCTCCAAGCTCCTCCCCATCTTTATCATTTTCTCGGCACTCCTTCCAGTTCCCCAGCATCCTTCCTTAGTTCTGGAGACCCAAACTGGACACTGCATTCCAGGTGTGGCTAGACCAGCGCTGCAGAGATGAACTCTCTCTCTTCATACACACACGCTTCCAGATCACTAACCAGGACCGAACAAAGGTTTTTAGTGAGATTTGAGAGAAAAAAGAGGACTTTAGACAACAGAAAAGGTTGAGAGAGCCAAAAGGCACTGCAACACTGAAAGGACAATCGAGAGTTTTATGGCACCTTAAGTGTTATAGCCCTGCATCATCTATCAGTAGAGCAACACCTCTTTCATCACTTTGAAGAGCTTTGCTCCGTGCCAACTTTTACTAACTCACCTTTACTTTCATTTATGATTCATCCTACGCTGGGAGGTCTTAGGAAGGCAGAACAGAACAAGAACAAAGACAATTACCAAGTAAATAATTTAAAAAGATTTTAAATTTAGACAAAGTTCCCACATCTTTAAAAGCAGAGGATAAACCAGGAAAGGAAAGAATAGGATTGTTTAAAGATGTAGCTTTGATCTGGAATTTTTTAAAAAACCAGCTCACCCACAGCTTCAGATTTAGGGTTTTTATTTTTGTTTCATTTTCTACTTTCTTTCCTTATGAAGCTCAAGATTCAATGTTTTTGGAATTTAATGAATTCCACATTGGGTCAGTCCTCTTTATCCTTTGTCTAAGCCTGAATCCCTCCATCTTGGATTTTCCCCCTTTCTCCTTATCTCTAGAGCAGCGTTTCTCAACCTCAGCAACTTTAAGAGGTGTGGACTTCAACT